CGGGAGGGACGCGGCGGGGCCGGGGCTGCAGCCGGCACCGGGCACACCCCCGCTGCTCTCCCGTCCCCGCAGAAGGACACGTCCCCTTCTTCCCCCTGTGCCTTTCGCTGCCGCTCCTCACGCCTCGTGTGTCGCAGGCTGCAGCCGGGTCTCCAGGCGGTAGGTGCCCAGCGCTCCCGGGGATGGCAGGTAAGGGCACGGGGAAGCTGTTCCTGCCCCCCAGGCCTGAGCTGCTGCTACGCGGCCTGGCGGTCACAGCGAGGGGGGACACTGAGGTATTGCTGCTTCAGATGATCAGAATCAAGTATCATAGACTGGTGTGTGGGAGAAGGGGCCTTTAAAGCTCATCCAGTCCAACCCTCTGCAGGGAGCAGGGACATCTGCAGCTAGAGCAGGGTGCTCAGAGCTTGGTCCAACCTCCCCTGGGATGGTGCTAGGGATGGGGCAGCGACCACCTCTCTGGGCAGCCTGGGCCAGGGGCTCACCACCCTCAGCATAAAACGTTCTTCCTTATATTACTCCTAAGTGATCCCTTTCAAACTGCAGTGTCTCTAGGCACTGTGCCCACGTGCCATCAGCCCCACTGACATGGGGACAAAGCAGCAGCTTCCAGAGCTGATCTTGCCGTGACTGTGAGCTTGTGTCATCTCCAGCCACTGAACAGTTACCCCTTTGCTGATATTTAGCAAGAGCAACAAACAGGTAACTCCTCTTGATATTCCAGAATAAGTATGGAGCAAGGGTTCATACATGTGTTAAATTTACGATAGCATCTGACCACAAATTTTAACATCCTTCTGGCAGAGCTGTTGTTTCACAGATGCTGTGCACACCAGGGAAACAATCATTACCCATATAATTCAGGTAAAATCTGAGGTGTTGTTTCTTCAAGCCTTCAGCGTTGGCTCTGTTAATTACCTCTGATACCTTAAACAGACCTGTCTCTGTGGTAGTGCTCTGGGCTGTACAACTTGTGTCCCCTGCAGAAACTGAACCAGGGAGGTGCCGAGTTTCTGCGTCAGCAGTCGGGAACCAAGAGCTGCATGATTTGCAGATCCAGTAATTTTCAATGGCCCCTGGAGGTTTCCTCCTCTGCAGTGTTTATGTATAAATAACTACCACCCCATAAACATATTTCACCTTTCCCTTGTGCTCAGCGATGAGTGATTTTTTTTAGAGAATTCTTAAAACTGAACGGCCTATGGCCATTTTGAACAAGCGACCTCTGACACGCTTTGTTACATCAGTTTCAGAAGCTCCATCCCAACGTATCTGTCTTGCCACTCAGCTTACTTTAAATCCACCTTGGCAGCAGTTTGAGATAGGCTAGACAGCTCGCTCTCACCTCACAGTCATGTGGCTTTCTGTTGAAGGTGCTGTGATGCTGCTGAAGCAGCATCTCAAACGTCTGCCCCAGTGCCCACTGGCACTGAACGGGGAGGCGAGGGGATCCCACCCTGCACTAGAAAGATGCTCTGGGCTCCCAGAACACGTTTCTCCAGCAGTCTGAGGGAATCTAAGCTGGCACTGCTTTGGTCCCAGCCTGCCCCTGGGACCCTCAGCCCCAGGGAGCTCAGCCAGCAGCCAGCTTTTTGTTTGCTGCTTTTGGGCGAGGGTTTTTCTGGGGGAAAGCAGTGGAAGCAGATGAACACAGACGCTGACTCAAGAGGAGGGACCGAGTTGTGCTGATGTAGGGCAGTGTGGCTTGCTGTGGGAACTCAGACAGCCCAGTGTAGCAGAGAACTGCTGGCTGGGGGGCACTGACTGATGGGTTCCTCTCTGCTGCCACGCAGGAGGCAAACGCTGCCCCCCTCGCTCTGTTTCATTACTTGTGTGCTGCTTGGAACACGTGCTACAGAAGAATGAAGGAGCAGCTCCACAGACCCTTTAGTGTCTGCCTCCTAGACTCAAAGATATCTTCTGGTTTCCCTTCTGCCTCCAGGGAGAAAAGTCCTGATAATCTATGCACATCAGGAGCCCAGGTCCTTCAACGGGTCTCTGAAGAGCGTTGCTGTGGAGGAGCTGAGCAGGCAGGGCTGCAGTGTCACCGTGTCCGACCTGTACGCCATGCACTTCGAGCCAAGGGCCACAAGGAGGGACATTGTGGGTAAGACTAGCCACAGAGGGGCTACTGCCTCCCTCTTCTGCTAGAGATGGATGGTCTATGAGTTTAATCATCTGAATCAACCTGTGTATGTCTGGTTCAGACACACTTGCATCAGCTCAGCCAAATGCAGTGGAGTCAGCAGAGCTGGCCTGCACTGGCTCCCCTGCCCCTGCTCAGTTTCCCAGTTACAGAGGCTGAAAAGCAGCTCCCTAGTGCTTGTGACTGCATGGTGGCTTCAGTAATCCCTAATGTAGAGGCAGAGCAATTAGCAAAATTCTCTTAAATCCTCCTAAATCACCACCTGCATCACCAGAGCCTAGAGCTGAGCTTAGGTCCTCCTGCTGCACTTCATACATTGCTACTGAAAGGTGACAGTTTTAGTCCTCTCAGACACTGCAGTCCTCTCCAGTTTAAAACCAGGTCACCATCATCTGCATGGGTGCTGAGTGTCCACGGGGGGGGAAAGAAAAGGAGAAGAGGAAGTGGGGAGGGAAAAATGGACAGCAGTAACTCGATCCAGAACTGTGTACTACAATGTGGATTTAATTCTCATCTGGCCACAAAAATCAGGGCAAGGACTGATGGCACCTCTGCCCACAGGTTGCTTGCACAGCTCAGAAGAGTTCAATTATGGCATGGAGATGTGGGAAGCTTACAAGAGAGGAGCTCTGTCCAACGATCTGATCGAAGAGCAAAAGAAGGTGCAGGAAGCAGACTTACTGATTTTTCAGGTCATTATTTTAAATTGCATTTAAAGACTTCAGTTGTAATGTACAGGGTTGAACAAAAGAAAACCAATAGTGAGCAGATTATAGATTTCATTAGGAACATTGAATGCAGCCAGAGAGGTGATGGCTCTGCCATCAGTCTGTAGCAATTTCAAGGTGTCAGGTTCTCCTGATACCATGTGGACTTTAAAAATACCAAAAATACCAGGTCACATTATTCATGCTAGCACACTGAGTTTTTCACACAACTGACTCCACACTGGTGTTTTCAGAGACCAGGAAGGCATCTGAAATTAGGACCTTAAAGTACCCGAGTAAAACTCACAGCAACAGTTCACTTAAAAATTAACATTCAAAAGCAGACTGACTGCATAGGTTTTGTGAAAACTGCTACCTGCACTGCAAACAATGGCACTGAGCAAGTCCAGGCTGAGACTATACAGAAAGAACCGTGCCAGATGTTATCCCTCTGTCTTACAGACAAAGCAGACTCAGATTTACACACAGAGACGTGTGTAAGGGCCTTAGGTGGCCCTGCTGAGTTGCACGTTCAGAATATGGTAACAGACACCAGAGCAGCAGCTTTAGGAGTAAGTACTTTAAGTAATGGTGCAGTACCAAATACAGGTCAGTAGCAGGACTTGCTAATGGATCACTGCACCCCACCTCTGCTCCCTGCTGGTCACCCCAAGTCCCTGAAGCACTGTGTGAGGCAGTACCAGCCCCACAGCTCCTCGTGTGCCTGCTGGCCTTGGGTATAGCCTGTATGTGTAGTCCCCTGTCTGATTCTAGATGAAGTTTAGGCTGTCACATATCTCAGTGAAGCATTTCATGGTAAATCATCATCATTTTTACACTATTGCTTGTGAGATCAGCATGGTAAAACAAGCCCTGAAGGAAGTGGTGGCTTCCTACTTCCTGCCAAGCTGAGTATGTTCTAATGAAGAAAAAAAAAATAAAAACAGGAAAGGAAGAAAGAAAAGCCTGCCAAAGACACCATGAAGCAATTTGAAATTAGCTATTAACTGCAGAGTGACCTCTCCACTTCCACAGGTAATGGTGATTGCCCACCATTGCCACAGTGCACACAAGTGATTTCCACAGTTCCCACCTTGAAAGAAGCCCCACGTGGGTAAAGTTTTGCAGCATTTCTTCTCCTGTGCTGCAGTGCATGCAGAAGTGTATAGGGGTAGCCAGGTCTCCTAGAGCAGGAGCCCACAGAGCATTCAAGGTAACACATATAAGGCAGGATAGCTTTGGGATGTCATCCCACAGGCTAACTGGAGGCTCTAGAAGCAGAGGGTCCTGCTGGGTTTTTTTTTCCCTACTAAGTTTTCTTCTCAGTGCAGTGGTTCAGAGTCCTCACGTCAGCAGGATGTAAAAATAGACCTTCCTCAAGACCTGGCAGAATTTGGCAGCAGATCAGAACTGGCCACCAGATGTCAGTCCTGGTGGACGTCATGTGTCCCTTTTGCACTTCAGCCTCAGCAGACAGAGTTCTGTCCAGTCGTAGCTTTGCATTCCCAGCACCACCCTGCCTCAGGACACCCCACTTCAGGCTGGGTGGGTGCCCTGGTGCTGCTGTGCTGCGGCAGTCGGGCACCTACCCGAGGCTGCTGCCAGCAGAAGGCACTGCAGCTGTTCTCTGCCAAGCACCCTTGCTGCCTCCTCTGGTGGAGAGCCAGGAGAAGACATGTACAACATCTGAACAGGTTGAAGGACTGGGGTTTGGCCTGAAGACCAGGCCTAAGGATGGCCTGGACTCTCTGCACTAACGAGGTGGTTTGTTTTTTGCCCAGTTCCCCTTGTACTGGTTCAGCATGCCAGCAATCATGAAGGGCTGGGTGGACAGAGTCTTGGTCCAAGGATTTGCCCACGAGTTTCCAAACTGTTACGATTCTGGTTTGCTCAAGGTATGTTTCTGAGGTTGGTTTATCAAGATCTGCACTGTGCTCTTGAGGGTACCCATCTTTCTTTCCCTTTATGTCTGTTTAGAGCTCTGACCCTATGCTCTCCTGGCATCATGCTTTGGTATCTTTCTGCCTCGTTAAGGCTGCCTGAGGGGTAACCCAGTAAGGAGAATGCAGTGATTCCAAAAGATTGAACCAATCTCCTCCAGATTGTAGTTGGCCTGCAAAAGGGGCTTTGTGATCTGGAAGGGTGTCGGAGTGTGCTGGCACAGCACACAGCTTGCCAGCAGTTCAGTCCTACAGTGGCAGCCTGTGGCTCTTCCCACCCCCACAGGACTGCAGAGAGCTGTAATGGGTGGCACACTGGGATGGGTGGCCACACCCTGTTCTGGGATCAGATGTCAAAGCTTGGAATTGCATTATAAAACTGGATCAGAAACCTGAGAAACCCAGTGCATGAGCCTCTCTCCCAGCTATTCCCTTTCAACCTTTTCTTCTCTGTAACTTATAAATTAAGATCAGTATTTCTAGTGACAATTCATAAATGCTTAATTCTCCATGACACTGGGAACATCCCTGGAAAATTTTGGCTGTCTGATGGGTCTTATTTGCTAACAACTGCAGCATCCAGAAACAGCATTAGTTGCACATTTATGTTTGCTGCATATCAATCTCTGCAATTCTTGATCTTAACAATCCCAGACCTTTCAGTTTCCTTTCAGGAACGGCCATCCCCAAGGATGGCAGCCACGAGCTGAGTGCAGGCTCAGGGCAGTTCCCGTACTGCTCTGGGGAAATGTATTTCCATTACAGAAGCTAGAACTGAGAGGATGCAAGCTGGGCACGAGCCCATGGCCAACATCATAGAAACAGAAGTTCAGGGCACCTGAGGAATAATTTGTTCTCAAATTATTCCTTGGCAAGTGACAAGCAAGCCTGGGTTTGAAGGGGGACTGAAACATTCAGTTTCTGCATTCAGGATGGATAGGAATAAAGATATTCTCAATATCAGAGGGCTTTCCAGGCACTGCAGAGAGCTGAACCAGGGCCAGCCCTGCTCCACACGTCACTCCTTTTGGTTTTTAATCAGCCTCTGCCCAAAGCCCTGACACTCAGTCCACTCTCTAGTTGTGTGCCATCAATCTTTGCCTCGGAGCTACCACCACACGCAAGGCCTGGGAGAGAAGAGGACACCACCTCCTCTAGAAGTTTATGCTGTCCAGGTTCCCCTGAGCATCCCCTGAAATGTTCAGCCACTTTCTTTAAACATGCCTAACTCAAGCACCCATTTCTTAATTCTAGAACAAATTAGCCCTCTTTTCTTTCACCACTGGAGGAAGCAAAGAGATGTATGCAAAAGGAAGTCTCAACGGTGATATTCGCTATCTCCTGTGGCCCATGCAGGTACAATATAGGAATGTTCACTTGTTGTTTGCCTTCATTTTTATTATACCAATTATTTTCAACAGTTGTGTTATTATTTTCTACGAAATACAATAAGAACAAATGAAGCTGTCAGTTCTGAGCATCTGCAGGTTATAAATTGGGCTTTAAAGTCATAAGACTCCTTTAAAAGTCCACAGAGTTTTAAAGTTATTTTGTGCCACTGCCTCCAGGTCAGAAGTGGAGGCAGGTTACACTGTCAGCCTCTTCACCTTCTCTGGGGGGCTTTCCAGCACTTAAAATAAATTCCACAGAGCAGAATAAAGGAAGGTGACCTTATTTTTCAGTGTGTTGTATGTCATTCTGCTTAGTGCTGACCCTTCAATAGCGACTGCCAGGACAGGTAACAAACTTGTGCAATTTATTTCCCTTCTCCTGGTCGATGCACAGGTTTAGACAACCTGCCTTACGTTGGGTCAGAGGAACAGTTGCAGATTGGACTCTGCCACATTCCTGAGCTGAAAGGGACAGGCCGTTTCCTGAGGCTTTTCTTTCTTTCCTTCAACTCCAGCACGGGATCATGCACTTCTGTGGTGTCAAAGTCCTTGCACCTCACATCTGCTTTGCTCCAGAGCATGTCTCTGAGGAGAAGAGGAAGGAGATGCTGATTGCCTGGGCCCAGCGTCTGAAGACTCTTTGGAAGGAAGAGCCCATAAACTGCTCTCCTGAGTGGTATTTTGAGTAATGTTCAGGTACAAGACTACAGAGAGGAGACTTTTTGGTTTTTTTTCTGTGTTCTTTTTTCTGCTTTATCTCAATATCTGAACACTAATCTTGTCATTCAAATGTACTGTAAGTACCTCAAGTACTACAGCTAATGGCTTAACTGCAAATACAGCATTTGTCTGCATTGGCTCCTGGGGGATTCTCTTCACTGATGGGTGCAAAACTTCGTGAAGAATTAGCCTTGCTCATGTGAACAGTCACACCCTGCCTACAAGTGGTGGGTAACTCAAGCAGCATTTCATTGCAGATTACACCCGTTGCTGCCTATGGAAGGGTAAAGTACATTGCTGAGTTTATTTTAATGTTTTTTGTACCAGCAGCCCCTTTTTTTCTGTTTGCCAGGGAATATGCTGCCAATGCTCAACCTTGTTATGGCCAGACCTGTTCTTATAAACGAGAGCTCTACACTTGTGCCTTTGAGCTATGAATAAAAGACACGTTTGCAGTGACTGAGACAGCAGCAGAGCCCTGTGGACAGCCAGCCCGGGGCTCTTCCATGTGTTTATAAAGCAGTGACAGAGACCAGAGAAAGGAAAATAAAATAAATTTAAAAAAAAAAGAAGAGTCCTGCCTGTTGCCTGCCCTTCCACATGGGCTGGTGCTGCTGCCTGGTCCCACATGTGTTTATAAAGCAGTGACAGAGACTAGAGAAAGGAAAATAAAATAAATTTTAAAAAAAAGAAGAGTCCTGCCTGTTCCCTGCCCTTGCACAGGGGCTGGTGCTGCTGCCTGGTCCTGAGGGCTGGTGCAACCCCTGGGCCATCAGTGGTGGTGGCCTTCCTTGGGGACCTCCAGCAGCAGCAGAGCAACTGCACGAGTGCTGTCCAGCTGCAAGCCAGGATCTGCTGGGCAAAATGAGTCTGTCTCATAACATCCATCATTTTAACCTTCAGCAGGGTTATTTTTGTGCTTGAGAGCAGCTAACCCTTTTTGTGCATATAGCAAGGGGAGGGCACCTTGCTTCCTGCAGGACTCCTGGATCAGCTTACCCGAGAGCTGGCTTTGTGCTGCCAGAGGAAGGGGACGTGCCCTGGGTAAGCAATGCTCCTCTGAGTCACTCTGGAGGAGTGTGTGTCATTTCTCAAACAGAGCCTACACCTGGCATGCCTCTGGCAGCAGCCCTGTCATTCCACACCCTTACAGCTCTCTCAGGGCTAAGCACAGGACAGGACTGTGGAACCATTTTGCTTTGAAGAGACCTGTAAGTTTATCAAGTCCAGCTGTTAACCCAACACTGCCATGACTAAACCGTGTCCCTCACACCACATGTACACATCTTTGAAACCCCTCCAGGGACAGGGACTCCACCACTGCCCTGGGCAGCCTGGGCAATGCTTTCAGGGAACAAATTTTTCCACATGTCCAACCTAAACCTTCCCTGGTGCAACTTGATGCCATTTCCTCTTGTCCTATCACTTGTTCCTTGGACAACAAAGTGACCCCCACACTAATAGTAATTTGAATAATAAACGTGCTGAGCCCAGATTCTGGAGTCACAGCAAAAGCTGATACCCAGCCTAGGAACTGCTGCTGCAGAGAAGGAGTCACACGTTCCTGTTGTCACCCTATGGGCTGAAGGGCCACCTCCAGCAGGGACAGACCCCTGGGAGCAGTGCTGCCCTAAGCTGTTGTGGATCTCTGCTTCCGTGTGTCAAAGTCCACAGGTTACACAAGCAAGAAACTTCTTTTGGTTGTTTTCCTTGTGTGGGAAAAAGAAAGTGAAAGAGACTGGAAAATGTTGCGTACATAGTTCTGGGGAAAGCAGGTTCTTGCCTAAGAGACTTAACGAAAACAACCTTAAGTTACCTGAAGGGAGATTGAAGGACAAATGCCAATATCAAAATTGGGTAGGAAAGGAATCATCCTTTTCCCTGTGTTCAGTTACCAGTGTTCAGGAAAGCAGGAAGTGGGCAGGAAAGGAGAAAATGAATTACCCAACCAAATCCTGCTGCACTGTAACAGCCACAGGGCCCAGCGGGCTTGGCTGCTGGGGAAGAGTCTCAGGCTGAGCCCTGTGGTGAAGAACACCTCCCAACAGTGCTGGGCAGCTGTGTGCCAGCTCCCACACCAATGGGAGCACCGAGTGCCCGCTTGGTTACTTCTCTGGTTTAACATTTGATTCCTAGAACAAGCCACTGAGGTTAGCTGTCTGCTCACAGAGGAATATCCTTCGCAGTAGACAAGTTCAAAAGGTTGTGCTGAAGGGAGGAACAGCCAACAATAAAGACCGTGCATAATTCATGTAAAAAGTCCTACTATGTTAGTAGATAAAGCCTAAAGAGCCTATGCTCCACAAAATGGATGCAAAAAATTTAAGCCTAGGCTTCTCTCCATGTTTCGTGCTGGTAATTGTCTCATCACTCTATGAACGGTTGGATACATTCATACTGTAGCCAAACAAAAACTCCAAGATCTGTGATGTTTCCTTTTCAATTAGGCAAGTCACTACAAAGAGTAGCCAAGAGCTATTCCAGCCTGAGTTCCAAAACCCAGCTTAAAAAGTGTAAAAGAGTCTTTGGCTACAGATGCTGGAGGGAGCAGAGGGCTTAGTCCGGAGCAGCAGCCGCCTCTCATTCCAGCAGCCTCCTGAAGTCCTTTAGGAGGGTGGCTGTAGCTGAGGGTTTCACAAACCAGCCAGGGAGATGCCTGTTCTGCACTACTCCCCTTGCTTCCAGCTCACTCAGCTGGGGTTCAGATATTTATAGGAACATTTGCCACAGAACAAAATACCAAGGAAACAGCTATTGAAGAATTTGTGTCACAGTGATCAGTGCAGGCTGACTGAGAAATAAAGAAATGTTGGTGGAGCTCTTTGTTTTTAAAAAAAAAAAAAAGGTAAAATTCAGTGGAGTAATGTTTCATGACCAGTTATTTCCAAGCATCCTATGATATTTTTTAACTCCTCCAGATTCAGCACTTTTGGCTTAGTGCAGCTTGAACGCACAGGAATTCTGATCTCTTGGGAAAGCTCAGTAAGGAGCCAGAGAACTAGTTTCTTCTGTAGGATTCTGCAGCCCTAACACACCATAGCCAGTTCTGAGTTACGAGTTGCCCCTCATGAAAGCAGAAGGCATTTGTTCAGTATTGGGCCCAGAGAACAAACCAAGACTGCAGCCGAGCAGCACCAAACGCTGCCAGGCACGTGTGGCCAAGCCCACATCTGCACCAGAGCTTGGTACAGGCCAGACAAGGCTTCAGGAAAACAACTCTTAAGTTACCTGAAGACAGACTGATCTCCCAAAAGTTCAGGGTAACCTGCCTTTCTTCTCAGTCAGGATAACTCCGATTGTGTTTTTAGATCCATTTATTTTCCCTGTCCATTTTGAGGAGGAAGGCCATGGCTAGCAGCCTCTAAGCACAAACAGATAAATGCTAATTTGTCTTTTTTCCCCCCAGTGTTTGTTGGCATGATCGGCGCTGAAGGAGATCAGCCTTTTTTAACTCCATCATTCCCACAGATTTAGCCATCTTACTTCCTGCATCCAGGCCGTGCCTTCAGCTCCATACACCATGCAACGACGCTCAGCGGCATCAAAAACAAACCAAGAAACCTCCAAAGTAAAACATTATCAAAAGATTCAAGAATCAAAAGCAAGGGGAGGAGCGGGGGCAGCAGGAGGAAGAGCAGCGGGAGCTCCGCGGCGCCCCGGGCCGGTCCCAG